AAAGAAAACTATGACAAACTGAATTTATAAAAACCAGAGATAAAGAGAAGCCAAAGAAAAGGTCTTATTCAGAGGAACCAAGAAAAAGACAACATCAATTCTAACTGGAAACACTGAGAAGACACAGTGGCAACAGAGAATCTGGACTCATGTCTGTAACCCAAGTACTTGGGGAGTTGGGGCAAGAAGAGCTTGAGTTTGAGGCTATCCGGGCTACATGTAACTTCAAGAGAAGCCTTGCTTATTTAACAAGACCTCGTGGCTCAGTGGTTAAGAGCACTGCTTGCTCTTCGAGAGGACCCAGGTTCAATTCCCAGCACCCACATGTGCCTCACAGATGTCTGTAACTCCAGTTCCAGGGTAATCTGACACCCTCTTCTGGCTTCCACAGGCACCAGGCATGCACATAGTACACTTACATGCATACATGCATGCATGCATGTAAAACACCAATACACAAAGAAATAAAAGTAAAAGTCTATCAAACTGTAATTCTATATCCACAGAAAGCATTTTCAAAAATGAAGGTGAAATAAGAGCTGTTACAGACACTTTTGGGATCACGGATGTATTTCCTACCTTCCTTGTGGTAATGCTTTCGGGGAGGGGTACAGTCATGTCGAAACTCATCAGACCATACACTTTCAATATGCACAGTATTGTATGCAAGCTACTCCTCAATAATGTTATTAAACCACACACAAGAAAAGGAGAAAAGGGAGAAGACAGATATGTATGTCTGTGACATCTAGTTCTTTATAAGATAAAGGGTGTTTAGAACAAATAAGATCTTTCAGGCAAGTGCTCCAGGCTTACAATGATTCAAACTGCATTAAAAAGCACACTCAGAAGCAGGGCACCTTACCTTAAAGTAGGAATGAATAGCAGCTGTGGCTTCACTGCGAACCCGCAATATTGAACCCAGAGTGTTAGTCCTACACCTCAGGTGAGGATACTGTCTCAGGTACTCCAGGGGATGCCTCTCCTTATATTTTATAGGGAACGCCTGCCAAAAATATGGGGGAAATTCAGAAGGGGAAAACAAACAATCAATCAAACAAACAAACAAACAAACAAACCAAAAGAGCTACCAAACAAACACCAAAACCCATTTTACAAACCAGTTTCCAGAGTATTTCTTAAAACAGCAGAGCTCTGGGACAAAACTAAGGTGCTTTCCTATGGTGATATTTTATTTGTGCTGAAATGTGATTTTATTTTATTGTTAATAAATAAAAGTGCCTGGGGGTCAGAGCTAATAGCAAGCCATAGCAGAAGTCTGGCAATGGTAGCACACGCCCTTAATCCCAATCACATGACAGGCAGATCTCTGTGTGTTCAAGGATACAGCCAGCATGGAGACACAAGCCTTTAACCTCAATACCAACCATAGAGACCTGGAGGTCTGTATAGACAGGCAGTGACGAGGAGGTCATGTGGTTGGGTTTACAACCAATGAGAAGGCAGAACAGAAAGTCAATAAAAAGACAGACACACAGGAAGTAGGTCTCTTTCTCAGGGGAAGGACGGCAGCGGCAGTGAGGAGTAAGAAGGTGGTCTTGGTCTCAGCTCTTAACTACTGCTCTCTGACCTCTGGGGCTTTCAGCTCTGCATTTCTTATTTAGTAAAACTGTTTAGAATTACATCTACACTTTCCTTATTATTAAAAAAAAATCACAGGTATTTTCGTGTGTATACATCTGCACACATCCACCACATGTTCAGAGATCAGAGAACAGCTTGGAGTTGGTTCTCTCTCCTACCATGCAGGTCTCAGGACTCAAACTTCAGGTCATCAAGCTCAGAGATAAGCACCTTTATCTGCTGAGCCATCTTCTTTATTTCTTAATAGGATGGATTGTAGCCCAATTACTCCTACCAGGTAAACAGAATGGCTGGGTGGAGTGAGGGAGATGCTGGGTCAAAGCCAGCTTTACTACTTAGTAGTCAAGTTAATGTCACTGAGGCTCGTCTGTTATTTACCAAGTCTCTATCCATTAGCTGTCAGTTTCTTACAACTAGAGATGTTAGCACGTAACTATTCAAAATCATTCACTTTGGCACATTACAGAAATAAAAGGCTATTCCTAACACCATACACACACATTTAGAAGATATTTAACTTCTCCCCAATGTCTTAAAGCCTCAAGCACAATCGATTAGGGTTGCTTATTATTTATCAGTTTTTGCTGGTATCTAATAGCATGAGGGAGACACCACAGTTTTCTTTCATTTAGTACAATACTGAAGATTTGGAAAAAATTAAAGGAAATTATGGCTCTAACTTGAGACATCTCCAACCTGGCCACACTCATGCTACAAAACTAAGAAGACATCCATCTTTTCAAACAAAACCTGAAGTTTCCATTGAAAAGATAACAGCGAAGTTTACAAAGAACAGCACTGGCAGACTGCTTCTAGTCTCCTCTGTTCTTTAGTTCTTAGGCAAATATTTCTTTTTGTGTTGTATAGAAACAAACATCATACTTACTAAAGGTAAACTGTGGCCCCATTAGTAGAGATTCAGAATGCTCACATGTCTGAAAACGTTAAGTAACACTCAGTCGGGGCTAGGGATGAACCGCTTACCCAAAGCAGGGTTTGGGGTTTGATTCTCAGCACCACTAGGGCACAGGGAGGGGGATACCATCCATTTACATGCTGGAAGTCTTAGATTTGGGATTAGGAACAATAAGAGTTTAAAATAAGTAACACTAAACCAAAAGGATAAAAACAACAGAAGCCAAGGGACAATTATTTTGCTCATTAGATATTTAAAATTATAGCAAGAGCAAGAAGCCACATGGCTAGAAGATAAACTTCAGATGTGATAGGTCCACAGAGATGCACAGACTAATTCTGGGCTCTCAGGAGATGAAGCAGTCATTATAATACTACTTCTCACTAGGCTCGGTGGTCTGACTCAGTCATCAGGGAAGTCACAAATGAAACTATTCTAAGTGCCATCTTCTCAAGACTTCAATAGACCACTGATGGTTTAGATTAAACCTAAACAGTCCCCCACATTATCAGCAAACATACCTTGGCTTCACAATTTCCAATCACCTCAATTTTTTCTGCCTTCAGTTCCACATTTTGCCTCTTGGATAGACTTTTGACCAGCTGCCCTTGGACTTGCACGGAACTCCCAAAAGCCAATTCTCTATAGTAACAAAAAAACTAGTATCAGAAAAGAGACTATATATAGCCTTCATTTCAATTAAAATCTTGGTGAAGTTTATAATGTCAAAAGTATTCAGATGCTCTCTTGTATCAGGACTCTAAAAATGAATTCCGTGTTCAAATGGGAACAAGGGGAGTTAACAATTTGCTTAAGTATTTAGAACTAAGAAATTATGTAACTATTATTATTTTTGGAGGATGTGGGAGGAGACAGACGTAGAACTCACTATATAGACCAGGCTGGCATAGAATTCACCTGCCTCTGAGATTCACCTGCCTCTGCCTCCCAAGTGCTGGGATTAAAGGTGTATGCCATCAGGCTTATTGTGTCTTCTTACCAAACATACTGGCCCAGTTACTTTAAGATGGCAGGCTGTGTGTAAAGTCTCGGGCTAGGGCCTGTAGCCTGGCTGAAGGCACTGCGCCAATGCCACCCCGTTTTGTGACACCCAGAGGTATCAGAAGATGCAAACAGTGGGGAAGGGAGGGACGTGAGGAGTCTTGGTACTACTTCCTACATGTAGGCTTTTTTGTTGTTGTTGTTGTTGTTGTTGTTGTTTTTAAGAGGAGGTCCCATACACAGCCCAAGCTGGAACTCACTCTGTAGCCCAGGCTGGCCTCAAACTCAAAACTTTCCTCCTCAGCTGCCCAAGGGCTGGGATTATACATATGTGCCAATATGCCTGGCTTGAATTGTAATTATTTTTTAATTAGTTGGTTGATGGCATGAGTATAGAGACAGTACCTTCTGGTTAATGAACTTATGTTCTAGTTCAAGTTTACCCACAAATTAATTTGCCACAGAAAGAAACATGCACCCAATTGTTTTAAGAATCACTTATTAAGAAGGAAGCTAGGGTAAATGATTGCATATCTTTGCTAATTCTAATATTTTATAATCAATATATATATATATATATATATATATATATATATATATATATATATATATATATATATATATATATATATATATATATACTGAGTGAGTGGTAGTGGTGGCACACACCTTTAATCCCAGCACTCAGGAGGCAAAGGCAGGCAGATCCTGAGTTTGAGGCCAGCCTGGTCTACAGAGTGAGTTCTAGGACAGTCAGGGCAAAAACCCTGTCTTGAATAAAAAGGGGGTGGGGGCACTGGAGAGATGTCTGAGTGGGTAAAATCACACAAGGCTGATAACCTGAGTTATCATATAACCCAGAACCCACATAAAAGCCACACACAACAGTGCAAGGATCTATAGTCTCAGTACACCCCTAAGGGGAGATGGAATGTAGAGAAGGACCCAGAAGCTCTTGAGCCAGCCTGTCTGCCTAAGGCAGGAACAGTAACACTCTGTCTCCACTAAGGTGTAGAGAAATACAGGACTGAGACCTGAAGGTTGTCTTCTCACCTCTACATGCACCTGTGTGCTCATGAGCAGAAACACATACAAATTTTAAAAATTCCCTTAACAACAATTAGTAAATACCTTCCTTAATAATGTGTATTTAAAAGTTATATTAATAGAGTAATATATTAAATAAATGTGTCAGGAGATTCCCCCATCCAGTTTTATTTGCCTGCTACATTTAATATATGGTATTTCCTTTTGACGTTTAGTCATATGTAAATGTATACATGTAAAACTGTTCACTTCTATGCAGTGGAGAAAAGAAACTGGTATACTCTGGCTCTGGCTGGTGACTATAGGCTATTTTGAGATGGTCTTGAGTTTTCCTGTAAGGGCTCTTGCAAATATCTCAAAGAGGCAGGTAGTCATCTCCAGAACTCAGGTGAAACAAGCCCCCTGCGATTGCTATCCTCACGGGTATCATCAGAGCAACACAAACTTCTTTACAAGGTTGACGGTAGAAGCGTGTGAAGGTTGAAGAACGGCCCCCAGAGCCTCCTATGTTTGAATGCTTGGTCCTCAGCTGGTGGAACTGTGAGGATTCGGAGGTGTGGCATTGTCAGAGGAGGTGTGTCACTGGGACCAGCTTGGCTTGAGCAAAAGCCCAGGTCATTCCCAGTTAGC